ACTAGTAAAATAAATAAAAGTCACAAAGTCTCAGTTTAAAAACTCAAATAGATTTCAAGTCATTCAACATTTAAAATCAAATTGCGGTCAAATGACTGCTCCCGTCTTTCTAGTGTTAATGCCCACCCATGTTTATGCCGACCTCAGTTCGCCCGTAATTTATTCTTCCATGATTTTTTCACAACATTTTCAGCTCTTTGTATTGGGTTCCATTCTACTACTATTTAACTACGTTTCCGACCGTTAAGAAGGCTATCTTGTCCGTCTCCTGGTTCTAACAATTTTCATCAAAATCGATTAAGCCGTTCTTGAGCTATAAATAGCGTAACTAACACAACTTTTTTTTATTTAAATGTATTTATTACATAGTAAGTACTTATGTTTTGTATCTAATAATAATATCTTATATTAGTATTTTTCTATTATTTTCATGATAATTGATTATGAGGTTCTTATTTATGTTAAGTTTGATGTTTACAAAGGGTTATTGATCAGTTCAGTCAGGTAGTGGCCAAGTAGTCAGTCTAAGTGCTGATCTTTCAACCAGCAGATAATTCTTAACTGTAGATTAAAATTGACATTTCACAATTTTAAATATGGAAGAATCATCAACAAAACATAACATAACATCACGCCCTTTATCCCCGACGGGGTAGATATAGGTGTACATTACGGCACTTAATGCCACTGTACAATGTAACACCCACTTTACACTATATAGTATGTTATGAGTCTCATGTAATAGGGGGTGAGCCTATTGCCATATAGGTACCGGGCACAATTCCAGACTCCGTGCTACTATTGAGATTTTTTGAAAAAGTCCAGTAATACTTTGCCCGACCCGGGAATCGAACCCGAGACCCCTTGCCCCGCAGTCGCAATTACGACCACTCGGCCAACGAGGCCGTCATCATTAAATAATAGAAATTAACATTTCTACCCACCCTTCTGGAGAAAGGACAGGGCAATATTATGATATTTTTATAAAATATCTTGTTGTACACATCTCATAAGCAACATTACACATAAATGAACTTTACCACTAAAATAATAAAGTTTAAAATGCGGTTGAACATGAAAAGTTTGGAAATACCTAGATAACTCGGGAATGAAATCCATTACAATTTGTTTATTATACACAAAAGCTTTGATCTCCACTCCATTTGTCTTGAGAAGTACTTCTGAAGCCCTCTTTTCGACACGCCAAGATCATCTGGGTACACGTCCTTTGTGTACTCTCTTTATATACTTACTTATGTAATTGATCCGAGGAACCTTTATAGGAGTTCAGTCATGGTATTCTGAAAGTATATTTTGCAAAGTTTTTAACGTTTCGTTTTTTAGTTTCCCCAATCTCCCCAATCCCTGAATCCCCAACGATCCTCAAACTCCTAATCCCCAAAAGGCCGAAAGATCAGGTGACCCGTTGGCTCGTTTACCGGCTCATGCCATAAAAAAAGTACCTGTACCTTTAAGGTTTAACACAAATAATTCTTTTATAAACTACGATCACAAAATCGACTTCAACCTCCTCTTATTTTGAAATTGGTTAATATTAATTACCCACCTCAAAAACCGAGTAAATATTAAACTTAAGTGTAACAAACACTTTTCTTAAAACTGCGTCAAAATCGGCTCAGCCAATTGCGAGATAATCTCGCACAAACATACATACATAAACTCGTTCATTTTTTGAAGTCGGTTCATAATGCTATAATGACTTTGAATACTCCTCCAAATTCAAACTTATGTTGAATTTTATAATTATTAAAACATTAAGGAGTTCACCTACAAACACTTCTGTTCGTCTGTCACTTAAGTGACATTAATTGTACGTTTCGTTAATTATAAGTAAGTGAATTAAAATTTTAATATACGGAGTAATTACTTGATACAAAGAAGAAGCTTATACAATAACTTATGAATAAGTAAGTTGAGTATATCGTATTCAATAATGTCACTAAGTTTATGTATTAAAATAAATGAAACTTATCTCAGATTTTTAGTATGACCCTATAATAAAAAGCCACGGAGGCGGCATCATCGAAATCGATGACTTTTTTTTATAAGGGGGGAAAATTATCGAATGACCACTCCCGCCTGGGTGAGGCTCTTACTGACTAAAAACTACCCCGTTCCTACTCCTGCACGTCGAGCCGGAGCCCCGGTAACCCGTTAGGTTCAAAATCGATGACTGAATTTAAGAAATTGCTATGCTTCTTGTATTTGTGTCGCTATAGTCACAGGGTCAATGTTCAAGCATTTCAGAATGTAATTGAAATAATATGTAATTAATATTCTAGATACAAAAAGAAACGCTTTACAATTGAAACTTTACGGCAAGAGAAAACTTTTCTTTTCTGTGTATAAAACTCTGCTTAGCACCAGAATTTCTGGAATAGAATAGATTATACCACTTGTTTAGAGACAGCAAATAGACCTATCAATATCATAACCCTGAGGAAAATAGTTTTTGAACAAAAACCGCTCAATGTGAGCACACTTGTCAATAGTTTAAGCCTCATATTTGGCTCAAACCCAAAAGGTTTGAAAACCTTCCAAGAGAGATTTAAGTTTTTACGTGACCTTTCAAATGATAATAAAACAACTTTGCTCTGGTGTGTGTGTGTGGGAGAGCCATGCTTTGGCACGAATGGCCGGCTCGACCGAGTGATACCACGGCCTCACAGAAAACCGACATGAAGCAACGCTTGCGTTGCGTTTCGTTGTGTGAGTGAGGTTACCGGAGGCCCAATTACCCTCCCCTTTCCCAATCTCCCCAATCCCTGAATCCCCAACGATCCTCAAACTCCTAATCCCCAAAAGGCCGGTAACGCACTTGTAACGCCTCTGGTTTTCCAGGTGTCCATGGGCGACGCCGATTGCTTACCATAAGGAGACCCGTCTGCTCGTTTACGGCTTATGCAATAATAATAAAAAAAATAACTAAAAATCGCGGGTCACGTGAGAAAGGCACGGGTATTTGTTTGGAGCCACAGAGGGGCTCTTCCTCATAAGCAGCGTGCGTGACATCGCCACGACCGCGCAATGTTGTTAACTTAGTAGATTTGTCTCACGATAGTTATTATAAAAATACTAGCTGACCCGGCAAACGTTGTTTTGCCATATTAATAATTTCGTAGAAGGGTGAAAAATGAGAATTGTATGTATTTTTGTATGTTGTATCATAAAAAAATAGAAATTAAAAACATTGTATAAAAAATAAAAAAAAATAGGGTTGGACTACCCCTAACATTTAGGGGGATGAAAAATAGATGTTGGCCGATTCTCATAGATACCGGATAAGCACAAAAAATTTCATCAAAATCGGTCAAGCCGTTTCGGAGGAGCATGGCAACGAAAACTGTGACACGAGAATATTATATACTAAGATATCTTCTCTAATTTTATTACGGAAATTGACGCTACTAATATTATAAATGCGAAAGTTGACTGCACGGTTGCTGCGGTGGCTAGGCAACCGGCTGCCGCGCAAAGTGTCGCGGTTTCGATGCCCACTCGGAACGTCTCTTTGTGTAATCCACACATTGTTGTTTCGGGTCTGGGTGTCATGTGTATGTGAACTTATATGTTTGTAAACGCACCCACGACACAGAAGAAAAACCTAGTGTAGGGCAATGTTTTTTTTTAAAAAAGAAAGATTGTTTATTGGATCTTTTGCTTGTTACTATTTCATGTCAAAACGACTGCGAGAAGAAATTTTTAACAGGGGGTCTGGAATAACACATAAGCCATTTTTTGTCCCAAAGGAATGCGGGCGAAACCGTCGGCACAAGCTAGTCTTAATATATACTAGCTTACTGTACTTATTATTCCTATTCCAAGGGATCAGACAATATATTTACAGATGATACCACATTGTATGCGAGCGATCCAATCCAGCTAGATATGACCGCATCGAACCGGTTCAGAAGAGATACCCATAAACATTCCATATTTATGACTTCTACTCCATCATAAACACATGATCTTCATACAAAACACTCTTACTTAGAGAATTTGTTAAATCCTCTTGTTATTCAACCCTTGTTACCTAAAATAACATGGTCTGAATAACTGTTATTCTTTTCTTGGTTCCTACTTGACTGAAAATCGAGACGATAAATATTTTTAGTAGGCATAAAAGGGTTAGGTTATTGTCATAGATAATGATTACTTTATTTAGTTTGAGTCGGAAAATGTGAAATGGAATGGTATTTCTTTTAGTGTAATCACGCAATCAATTGGGAGATAGTAATACAAAAACCTCCAGTACCTAAGTAAATGAGCAGTAGAACTTAAAACCTCAATAAATAGGATAAGTTTAAATACATATCGCGGCAAGTATTGTTCATAAATATCAAGCGAAGTCAACATGTATGTATTGTAAGTTTGGAACAAATATAATCACACAGAAACAATAACAATCAAAAGTTATGATTCATAAATTTTAAGTGATATGAAAAGTAAAGAAATAATTAGATTACAACACTGAGCTGAATCTGCGAGGGATAAAAAAAGTTGGAGGAGGTGATAATTTTTTATGTTCCCACAGGAATGGAAGGAAATGGCAATCATAACCCAGAAACATCAGGCCTATCTATCTTTTGTAATATTGCTACAAATGTTTGCGTATCGCAATAAAACTGTATGTACAAAAAGGACACCTTTCTGTAACCCTTTGGGCAATAAACTTGATTCAATATGTACACTCACTTGTACAGCCACTAGACAAAAGGAATAACTTATAGCTCCCGACATAATAATCCAGACAAAAAGTTACAAAGATATACATATATACGGGAGACAGGCAGGTTTCTTAGTATAATAATATTTGTTGACAGAAGATTACAATAACCTAAGAGGATTATAATACAATATAATGCGTCACTCATACCTAGCCAAATACATTTTCTGATAATAAAATTTCTAATGTACATTTCTCTCTTTGTTTCAGAAAACTAACGAGATATGAAGAACTAAATCCATGATCTACCAAGATGGCGTCGACTGAAGACGAATTTAGGAGCATATGCCTTAACTTAACCAGTGAGGAGGCTATGCTTGGAGGATGTAACTACAGCAGCGAATATGAAAATGGAGAACTGTTGGAGAAGGTCGTCTCGAGGGTTGTGCCCATCTTCTTTGGCTTCATAGGCATCGTTGGATTAGTTGGCAATGCTTTGGTCGTCTTAGTGGTCGCTGCCAACCCTGGCATGCGGTCCACTACCAACCTGCTCATCATTAACTTGGCTGTCGCTGACTTGCTCTTTGTGATCTTCTGCGTTCCATTCACTGCTACCGACTATGTCATGCCACGATGGCCCTTCGGAGACTGGTGGTGCAAGGTTGTCCAGTACTTCATTGTAGTCACTGCTCACGCGTCCGTCTACACCCTAGTACTCATGTCTCTAGACAGGTTCATGGCTGTAGTGCACCCCATAGCTTCCATGTCTATCAGAACAGAAAAGAATGCATTACTTGCTATAGCTTGCATATGGGTGGTGATATTAACCACAGCTATTCCCGTGGGCATCTGCCACGGGGAGCGGGAATACTCCTACTTCCATAGAAACCATTCCTCCTGCGTGTTCCTTGAGGAGCAAGGATATAGCAAGCTAGGGTTCCAGATGTCTTTCTTTTTGTCTTCCTATGTGATTCCCTTAGCTTTGATTAGTGTATTGTATATGTGTATGCTGACGAGGTTGTGGAAGAGTGCGCCAGGAGGGAGGGTGTCTGCGGAGAGTCGGAGGGGGAGGAAGAAGGTGACGAGAATGGTTGTGGTCGTAGTGGTGGTGTTTGCAGTGTGCTGGTGCCCAATACAGGTGAGCTAACGTAACGATATGTCTTTTCTAATAATAATGATCTATTATTCTTTAATTCATTTCATGTTTTTCCAAACGTTTCATATTTTAACTGCTATTTATCTTTATGATGACATATTAAATTATAATGAAGGTATATCTACCAGACTAAAATAAAATACAGAATGTTATTTTTGTCTGCTACTAATATTCCCAGAAGAAACTGTAATACTAACGATGCTAATTTATTGTCTAAAATAATTTCATTTTCATTTCTTGTAAATTCTATCTAGATTTTTCTTACAATTACCACAGAATAACAAAATGGTTGTCTATGTAAAAATATTAGGTTCTTTTTGCTTAAATAAAAAATGTATAATAGAGTAAGCCGTCATTTTGTTCCCTCCATAATTTAACGTAATAGCCAATTAAACGGGTTCCTCAAAATGATAATTGTCTGAATGGAAGTAAAACGTTTTTGCGAATCGTCTTACTGAAATAGGCTATTGCGAGACGCTGTATTAATCGGATTCTTTGAAATACTATTTCCACGGAATCGATACAGATAATAAAACATTCAAAGGTTTCAATACATATTGAATTATTGATTCTGAAATCCTAAATGAGAATAGATTTCGAACGATCCGGTAATTGAGAGTGACTTTTCTTTTGATTTTCCTCGACTTGGGCCAGTTAGAAAGCCAATCAGGCTCAGTCAATTGTCAATATCTATTCACTTCTTTCATTCCAATAACATAGTCAGTATTTTTATTTATGCTCAACGATTCTAGAGATGACTGCCTTGGCCGAGTGGTCGCAAGTGTGACTGCCGGGCGAGGGGGTCTCGGGTTCAATTCCCGCCCCGGGCAAAGTACTACTGGGTTTTTAAAATTCTCAGTAGTAGCACGGAGTTTGGAGTTGTGCCCGGTATATGGCAATAGGCTCACCCCCTATTACCCCCTACATTACATGGGATTCATGACATAAATAGTGAAAATTGGGTGTTACACTGTACAGTGGCATTAAGTACCGTAATGTACCTCTGCCTACCCCTTCGGGGATAAAAGGCGTGAAGTTATGTTGAAGAATCTAGATATTTTGTTTGGATAAAGAAAATATAATTATATTGTTTTATTATTCAAGGATATACTAAGAGCTACGAACCTTGTACATATCAATATTATGTTAAATAGATAGATTCGCTAATCCTATATCATTATCAATCATCAACAGCCTATAAGTGGCCATTGCTGACCACTTCTGGCACTGGGAAGGTTTGAGCATTAACCACCACGCTTGCTCAATGCGGGTTGGCAATTTCAAACTTATAATCAGAAAACCTTTTTTTCCTTCACCGTTTGTCAGTGATATAATCTTAGAAAGTATACTTAATTCGGAAAAGCTCGTATGATAGAATATTTGAATAAAAAAAATAAGTAGGTACATACTACATTTGTTTATTATTTTGACTTATTTCAAAGTCAAAGTCAAAGTCAAAGCAATTATTTCAATTAAACCATAGTTTGGTACTTTTGAAACGTCAACAAATACAAAATAAATAATAGTCTGTCAGTCAGTCCGTCAGTGAAACTAGGTGAAGCTAGGTGCTCATTCCAAAATGTAGATTCGAATGGAGAAGAACGAGCAAGAAACTCCATTTGTTACTGTTTTTAAAAAAGTATGTTCTACAATGTCTCTGATACATATTTCCACGGAATATAGAATACAATGGAAGTAGCTTGAAACCGTGCATATTTCAATACTGTACGTATATGTGAGAACAATGCAATTATAAGTTTTGTTTTCGTGACGTCAAAATATCCTTTCGATTCTTATTAAACGTACCTAAAACAATTGTAGGTAGGTATTAAAAACAAACTAAGAAAACTTTATAAAGAATCTAGACTTAAGTCACTAACCTTTTTACTTTGTAAGTAATAAAATCTGTCTGGCCGAAGTAAGGAATGTCTAAAACGAATTTAGGAACCGCTTTGGACGGAATAAATCTCGTCTGAATTCAGAAGGAACATTTTACGAAAGTTATCTGCTAGGAGGAGTTAATCTTGTAATTATTTATGAATATATATTTATGAACTTGTTTAAGAAGTCTTATTGATAGTTTTTTTTGTCAATGTCAAAGCATTTATTTAAATTTAACCATAATTTGGTACCTTTGAAACGTCAACAAATACAAAATAAATAATAGTCTGTCAGTCAGTCCGTCAGTGAAGCTAGGTGAAGCTAGATGCTCATTCCAAAATGTAGATTCGAATGGAGAAGAACGAGCATGAAACTCCATTCGTTACTCTTTTAAAAAAAGTATGTTCTACAATGTCTCTGATACATATTCTCATACTGTATGTATATGTGAAAACAATGCAAAGACACGCTTGACGCATTATAATTACAAACCTTACTAAAATAAAAAAAATAATAATTTATAGACTAACATGGTGCTCATATATGCATACTGACAATCCATAAAAATAGTGCTTCTATACAAGAAAAGAAAACTCTTTATTTCAATAAAGAAAGAAATGCTCGATGCCATAAAGAAACTAGATTGTCTACATTAGAATGAAAGTATTAAATTACCTACAATTGGAATCTAACTACTGACTACTGACTACTACATAATCTCTTATTAACAATTGCATGTGTTGTCATTGAATAAATACAGCGATATTTTTATAGTAAACTAGCTTCTTCCCGCGACTTCGTACGCGTAATCCCATTTGTTCCCGTCCCCGTTCGTGATTTTCGGTAAAAAGTAAAAAAAAATGTTGGTTAAAAAGTATCCTATGTCGGTCTCCTGGCTCTAAGCTATCTCCCTACCAATTTTCAGCCAAATCTATTCTGCCGTTCTTGAGTTATAAGTGGTGTAACTAACACGACTTTCTTTTATATGTATAGATTAACAGAGCTTTTCTCGGTATTTTCACGTGAGTAACCCGAGATTTTTATTTAATTTAGTATATCTTATGATAGTTATTATAAAAACACAACAAAGAGCTCATAACATAAAATTAGTCCCATCTTCTACAACTGAGATTTATACGACTAATCAAATATCAATAATCTGAAAACTTAATTACAAGAGAATTGATTGAAAGATGAAAATAATGTAATTATAATTGTATCGAGGCTGAGTTTCGGATAAAACTTAATCCAATAATACTTAGAGATAAGCGCCTTAATGTGATTGGATTATTATTAACCAATAACGGTTATTTTAGTATGGAAATAGGTTTTTGAATTATGTTCATAATTTTATTAAGTAAACTGTAAGCAAAACAGCAGCTAATTTAATTAACTTTATGTCTATAAAAGTTAGGATTTTTAGATATTTTAACTGTGGGAAAGCCATGCTTCGGCACGAACTGGCCGGCTCGACCGGAGTGGTACCACGGCCTCACAGAAAATCGACGTGATATAACGTTTGCGTTGTGTTTCGTCGTTTGAGTGAGGTTACCGGAAGCCCAACTGTCCCTCTTCCCTTCCCCAATCTCCCCTATCTCACACGTTTCTATAAAAAGTAGCAATTCGTGACGTCACACGATATATCAAATCAACATATCGCCGAAAATATATAATTTTATAAGAAAAACAAACCGTGTTTCAACACAATGTATGTACACAAAGCACCGCTAATTAGTTGCAGCGCTACACATCGACACAACTGTCATTTACACAGTGTACATGTGTGCGTAATTTCATATAACTGTATATAAAAATATTCGTCCACCACGTTCACATTGGTATTTTCATTCTTGTGTCGGTATACGTATTTTTATAATTTAATGCATAGGTAAGGTTAAAACTATTTACAATCATTGATATGACCCGACATTTTCACTGTCATTATCGTAGTGCTCGTGGTCGATTGGTTAATGAGCACGCTTTTATCGTCTTTCAAGGATCAATGATGTGGGTTCTATTCCAGCTAAAAGTTAATTTTATTTTACCTTGTTATTTTTCTTATTTTTTTTTTTTTTGTTTTTTGTCATAAAATATAAATATCAGGCTATAAAAGAAGCAAATGAGTTGGTAAATAAAACAATACTATTTTTTATTACAATTAATTTATTTATTATACAAATATGTTGTTTTATATTCAATATTTATATCTAATAATTAATTATATACCACATGTTAAGTTTAAAGTTCTTTAAATCATAATTAATAGATATGACAATAAACCTCATAGTCGAATCGGGAAATATCATGCGGTACAGCGGTAATACGATGGCAGCAACATTTTTTATTAAGTAGGTAATAAACAAATATACAACATTCTTGTTTTGTAATTTAATAATATAATGTATTATTAAATTACAGTTTTACAGTAATAAACAAGTAAAACATGTAAAAAATTACATGTAAAATATTTCTTGAAATGGGCGACTTTTTGTCGTTTGAACTTCCATTAATTATCTATTTTACGACGGTTGTTATAAGGTTCAATATTCAGTGGGCTGTATGATAGTAAAAAGAATGTGACGAATGCTATGGAACGATTTTAACTTTCATGACCTTTAGAATCAGGGAAACTTTAAATTAATTGAAGATGGGCGTAAATATAATATGTCAATCAAGTTCGAAAGCAGTTAAATAAATTTGTTAATGAAAAATTAAAGTGAAGTGAATAAACATGTTGAATAGAAAGAAATTATGACAATTTCTAACCACAAAACAATAACATCACTTCACCGTATGTTCTAGACAGCATTTTAATATTCTTAAAAAAATTAAACATTATTTTATGTTAATTTTAATAAAGGCAGAGTTTGACAGGCTCAATAATTGATTCCGAAATCAATACAATCACTGATCCTACAAGGCAGAAGGTTGCAATTCGTATACCTTTCTCCATCTTTTCTTCACAATATTTTACGCCCATCCTTATCCGACTTGAAAGTCTTTTCGTCGCTCAATATGATTACACTGTTCGCCCAATCAAAATTAATAAAGTCCTTAGCAAATTCTTAGCGCTTTTGCTGGTGAACCACACATAACAATATTTTCTTCTCTGGCTTCCTGCACCTTAAACCAGAATGCAGGTGTCTCCGTACAGTTTGTATTAAAACATTCAGTGCTGTCGCTGTAGTGCGGGTTGGCAGGAACGGATCAGCCATGTGCCTGGCTACGATGTCGTAGGGCCGAGCCGATGAATTTGCCTTTGGTTTAGGCCCACGTCGACGATGTTTAACGTCACCGGTCTCCGCATATCTGTGCACCCATAACTGCATGGATCTCCTCTGTTGATACCAAACAAATAAGTATTTAAAATACCAGGAAATACTTTACAGGAATTAAAGTTACTTAAAAATAATAATAAATATAAGTAAACACAATGTTAGAATAATAATTTATAATTAAGTAGTGGCGTAAGGAATAAAAATCCCTAACCAGATATGTTTTAAAGAAACACTCCTAACAAAAACAAGTCAAGTTACAATACAATTAATAATAAATTATTAATATATCTTTATAATATTGAACTTCATAATAAGTTGCAATAATTATTTTATTCTAGTGCAAAAATTGATAGGTGTGTCGAGTTACAAAATGAAATAAATATTATTTAGAATATCAACGTAGTATCTTATTTACTCACCGATATCATTAAACGCCTTGCTATTTCAGTTATTGTTAGTTATGTTTTGCTCATGCAAAACAATGGTTTCAGCCTTTTTAAATGTTGATAGGTGTTGGAACATCTTGTAAAAATAAAAATAACTTTGCACACGAATATAAGTAGTGTAGCAATAAACTATGAAATCCTCATAAATTGACAACTAAGAACGCAATTATTTTGTAAGTCGGGTGATTTGAAAAACATGTTTTAAATAGTCGGTAGTTACTTCATAAGCGTGTAAAATAAAATGACTCGAGATTTCTATGGTCGCCACAAACATTGCAAATATACTCAGGTATCGAACCATTAAGAAATCACAGTTAATTACTTTTTTACTGTTTTTTATCTTATTTAAGTTGGTTGAAATGCATGAAGCAAATGAGATTATTCTAAATAATAAATAACTAGAACTAAAATATAAATAAAAGATATTATAGGTATAAATAAATCTAAAGTATTTACTATTAAAATTAACATAAGATTTAGAACAATAGGAAAGGAAAAAAAAGAAAAGTATTAATTGTTTCTAATTTCAAATTTCAAATTTCAAATTTCAAATATTTGATAAATTAATTCTAAAACAACATGTGAATGTTGGAATCGATCCGGCGGCACTTTACATGACAATTGGAGGCGATAACCATTGCGCCAAGCGCGCTGTAGATGAGATCATCGAAATATTTTATATCATTCAGTAACATAAAATTACAATGAGAAAGCACTATATTTATATGGGTATTGTATAGCTCGATCGTTCATTATTTTTGATTTCGATTTATTCAAAGTTTGTTATGAGTAATTTTATCTTTACCCTCGTTTTTATTTAAACTTATTTACTAAATTATTGCGTATACCGACACAAAAATGATTTTTAAATACCAAGATGTGTGTGATAGACGAATGTTTCTATACATATCTATTGATATGAAATTACCCACACATGTATATTGTGTAAATGATAGTTGTGTCGATGTGTAGCGCCGCTAACTAATTAGCGGTGCTTTGTGTACAAGACAGAATTTAAAAAAAAATCGGAACCAACCCTATTAACGAGATCATCAAAACATACGTTTGTATGTTTTGTGTATGTTTACACAACATACTCAAATGTTTCCATTGAAAAGCAGAAACTCATCAAATCGCATTACAGTAATGGCGGCTTGTGTCCAAATGTGTTTATCACGTTATTTGTGTTGTTGGAACCGGCCGAAATACTGTACATTTCAATTCAAAGCTTTGAGAATGCTCAAATTAAATGGTTCGACGTTCGAACAAAACCACATATTGCACCGACTGGCTGGATTACACGAACCAATGTATTGTACGCTGTAAAACGGTTCGACATATTGAATGACTATGTTCTCATCATCTTTACTAATAAAACACTCCTTATAAATCTTAATGGGCTTTTTTGAGGGGAAAATCATCTAATGACTGCAAGGTTGGTGCGGTGGCTGGGTAACTGGCTACTGCGCAACGTATCGCGAGTTCGATTCCCGCACGGAACAACTCTTTGTGTGATCCACAGATTGTTGTTCCGGGTCTGGTTGTTATGTGTATGTGAACTTGTTTGTTTATAAACGCACCCACGACCCAGGAGAAAATCGTAGTGAGGGGCAAAGCTTTCAAAAAATAAAAACTAGCTTTCAAAAACCATCTTGAGTGGGTAGAGAGGGAGTATCAAACTCTTACTGACTAAAAACCACCCCGTTCTTACTCCTGCCCTTCGAGCCGGAGCCTCGGCAAACCGTAAGGCCTTCGGCGGCTTCAGATCGGGCATCAACCCTACTGGGCCTCATCTATGGTGACCTGATCCCTCTTTGAAGCGCGCGCAAAATGCGATGCACTCGGGTTTGGTTATGGTCGTAGGGTGAGCTACCCGTGCTCGCCATCCATTCTCAAACGGCTAAAACCTTTCGTTTGACAGGTTAACAAAACCAGAAATTTGTAGATTTTTGAAAAATATTTTTGATTAGGAAATTAACCTTAGAATGCGACTGCTCAATTATGCCTAGATTTTGAAAAGGGTGCTTAAAAATAAAATCATAAAAAAATAAAAACTGATTCCATACACCCCTGAATGGAATTCCCTTCCGAGAAAAAAGGTTTTCTTTGTTTCATTACCATAATATATGTAGACGCCATTCATTTGCTCATAAGAACCCGCTAAGTATTCAGTTACACTGTATACATACCGTAACAGGAAAACAGAAATAATAGGCCTAGCTAACAAATAACAAAACAAATAAATGCCCATTACAATCCCCTGAAACATATAATCATTGTTTTAAATATACTTTGTAATATTTGTTCGGAATATTTCTCATAGGAAGTTCCTCGATCATTTTTGTCACTCAAAATAACATCACGCCTTTTATCCCCGAAGGGGTAGGCAGAGGTGTACATTACGACACTTAATGCCACTGACTGCCTCGTTGGCCGAGTGATCGCAATTGCGACTGCCGAGCAAGGGGACTCAGGTGCGATTCCCGAGTCGGACAAAGTATTACCTACTGGGCTTTTACAAAAAATCTCAGTAGTAGCACGGAGTCTGGAATTGTGCCCGGTATATGGCAATTGGCTCACCCCTGTTACGTCGGACTTATAACATAAATAGTGAAAAGTGGGTGTTACATTGTAAAATAATAATAATCTTCTATTGCAGATAATCCTGTTGGTAAAGGCGCTGGACAAGTACCACATCACATACTTCACAGTCACTGCGCAGATAGTGTCGCATGTACTAGCCTACATGAACAGCTGCGTCAACCCAGTGCTGTACGCCTTCCTCTCTGAGAACTTCAGGGTCGCCTTCAGGAAGGTGAGAATTTCACTCTTTTGTACTTATAAATACAGATGACAGCATATCAAGTTACCTGATACTGTGTAATAGATTTTCGACTTAATAATAGAACTGTAAAGTTGAGAATCGATAGATAGAGTGGAGTAACTTGATGTGATTTTTGTAGCAGGGGGAACAGTCGGTATATTTAATGAAAAAAACCCTTGAAAGGTTTATTCATGTCTGTATGATCAACATTATTATAATATATCTTTTAGGATATTGGTAAATCGAAGCTATAATAGCGAAACGGCTTTCAGTTCATTATGATCATTGTATAAACGAAGCCATTATTTTTATCAGAGTATTTGATCGGAACTAACCAGCTCTTCAATGCTTGGAGAATATTAAACTGGAGTGTTTTGGAAGCTCGATTAGACATTAGCAAAGACAATGTCGGCAAATTGCAAACGATTTTTTTATACAGAGTGCCAACGGAACGTTTCCAAAAAACAAAGACAGGTGATGGTGAAAACTGATTTTTATTTTCAAAAAAGTAAGGATTTGGGTACTTACCTTAATCAAAAATAAATTATTTCGACTGTTCAATACAATAAAATATTTCAAAATAATCACACTATCATTAATTGATTTTATGACCAACTCAATTTTAGTATTTTTCAAAGCAATTTTTTAAGAAATAAGTATGCAGTTTGACGCTAAAAAGCGTTACGTCAGAAAACACAATCTCGTACAAAATTCATAGTAAACTGTTGTTTTTGACAGTTCGAAAAAAGTATTGAATTTGACTAGTTGGCAAGTATTCAATTATTTTTTTCTTTTCGTTATTAATAGTTGTAATCAACTGGTCAAGGCATTATGTGAATAACATGGAAACAAAAACGACTAAAATTAAAAAACTTAAAATTGATTTTTTGTTGTTCTTTTCGGAGGCATTTCGTTTATACTCTGTATATTGATTTTAGGTTTTATAAACCATTTATAAATTATTAATACTAAATTATTATCTTTTATACCTCTAAATAACATACATAAATATGACAAGTTAAACTTTAATAATATTTGCCCTTCAGTACTACGAAATAACTAATAACGCAGCTATCTAGCAATATATCCTCCCTATTTCCAATGAATATTCAGGTGTGAAATACACTGTTTAAACCTTACTGGTTCAATTACAGTCGATAATTGGCGCACCTAGAACAAAGAGAGAGCGAAAAAGAGAGAATAGCAAAAGTCACAATGTAAGTACTCTTTTGAAAAGCAAATAATTGGTGACACACACTGAATTCCTCCAGTATACGTGTTCTTCCACAGTATATGTGTTATTCCACAGTATATGTGTTGTTCCACAGTATATGTGTTGTATCTCAGTATACGTGTTGTCCCACAATATACGTGTGTTCGTACCTATCACGTGTTATTTGTCCTATCATGTCTAATACTGTGTAATCATCCAATAATGTCAGTGTAATCGACGTTCATTAGATTAAGATCTGTAATTAAGACATGATTTCAATCAAGGGCCCTCCATTTGACGATTACCAAATTAGATTGTATTTAATGATAATGTTAATTAAGTGTTATTACAGTAACGCAGTGTAAACTTGTTACGGTAATAATATAATGATAGGTAATTTTGAAGATTCTATTCCGTGGTATAATTGTTAGAATAAAAGAAACTATACACCGTGAAATCTATTTCCTTTGCGTTACACTTGCCATAAGGAATATCTTTGATGTATAAAGTAAAAACAGAAATATAAAGATGTCAGTTTTTAGTTAAGAAATATAATTCACACTAGGTGTAAATTTGTAGGCACTATTCGCATCGCACGTGTATGCCACCCGAAGAGAAATACCTGTTCGAGAATTACTTTTTTTAAGGGTGTAAAATCATCGAATCACTTCTACCGTTTGGGTGAGGCGGGAGAAGTGATGAAGAGTGATGACGGAGCTCCGGCAACCCGTTAAGTCCTCCGCGGCTCCGTATCGGCATCATCCATATTGGGCTTGGGCCCCATTTGCGGTGGTCTGATGGCTCCTTGAGGCGCGCGCGGAACGCGACGCGCCGTACGCTCGGGTCTGGTTCTGGTCGGGCAGCGAGGCTCGAGAATTACATGTCGTGATGTTTTGATAATGTACCTACTATGAGTTGCTACGCACTTTCGAAGTTTGCTTTTTGCAGTCGTTCACCAGTTATTTTTTGTTTTAAATATTTTATTTCTTTGTAAATCTATTTTATTACCAAGTATCATTTTACTTCGGGACGAAAACGAAATAGACTTCACGGTGTAGATATTACTCTTTTCAATAACAATTTGTTTGATATATTTCACAGTTTTAGTGATTAGACATTTGGTGGATGGTTAAATTGTCTTTCGATAGCAGTGTTGTGGATTATTCTATAAATTCTATGAGAGCTGGTTTTAATTTACGTTCGCAATAAAACTAATCTTTGGCGGAGGGAAGGTGTTTGATTCCTGCACTTTCTTGTATTGCGTTGTTTCCAAAATTCATTGTATTTTATGGTTTGTCATACAATTTTGTCGGTTGAGGTGTGATTGCTTTTGCACATGCGATTTAATATTTTGCACATAAATTCATCCACAAATGGTATCAATGTTATCTTTGGAATGGGTACTAGCATCTACTAACATAAGTATCTAAAAATTTAATGCATCACTATATTATTGGGTAATCACGATTTTACCTAAGGATGGTATGATTCTTTACGAGCTATGAACAACACATTGCATTTGCTCCACCCCATTAAAACCGCATTCTGGTAAAAAAAACAAAAGAAGATGACTTAATATCAGGAGAAAGAAAAGTCTTACAATATTTCACGTACCTACCTCTATATACATTTCTGCCTACCCATGTTAGAAAAAACAGGTGAGATGGTTGCCCAGATTTATAGGAACAAGTAAAAGGAGAACTGAGTAATAAATTATCTTTATCCACAGTTGTTACTTGGTCACGAATTCTCATAAAAACTTCGTCCTAATTAAAATGTTCTTTTTAAAGACTTTTATCTTGAAGCAGGCAGGATTATTAGCCAAATGTCTAGGTAGGTCTATTACCCACTTGAAATTCTGCCGAGGTCGAGTTTTGCATGAAAAAGGTAAGGCCTGGCAGCTGACGCACAATGCTCAGTGTAGCCCCAAATTTATCAATTTACTTCAAAACAAAATTCTAATCAGTGTTTCGTAGTAATGAACTAAAGTTTTTGGTAAATATCTACTTATAAGAGTTGTAACTCTATTGTTTAATATTCAAATGATGTTTTATTACAATTCCAAATTCTGAATAAATAATTTAGTTCGAAATGAAGTTTTTGACTAGGCATGTTGTGTACATAATGTATTGATTTTTCATAACTCTAGGACTGTTCTGACTCAATTAGGCAGGCTATTCATGTTATAATGTATCCAGATTTTGAATTTCACATGAGTATTAGATGCTCATGTGTGTACTACGTTTCAATTCGTATACGATTCGAAGCTATAATAATGCCCAAATTATATTATTACTCGATGTTATGACTCGTTGGCCGAGTGGTCGCAAGACTCGATTCCCGAGTTGGGCAATAAAAATTCTCAGTAGTGGCACGGAGTCCGGAATTGTACCCGGTATAAGGCAATAAGTTTCATCACCTCATATTAAATGGGGCTCATAACATAAATAGTGAAATGTGGGTGTTAGGTTGTACCATGGCATTAAGTGCCGTAATGTGCACCTCTACCTATGCCTTCGGGAATAAATTTTCTTATTTAAATATTCCTAATGTTGACTTAGAAAGTACGTAACTACGATTCTCCAAATGTCAAGGAGGTACTATTAACAGTAAAATCTGCGATAAAATTGTTAGCTATGACCCATCAGTAATCCCTTATTCTATTACCATTATTTTTAGATAATTCCCTCGCTACTCGGAAACAAATATCCGATAACACAAATACAACCCTTTCATCCCTTTTTCTGATACGACCAATGAACAAGTATTGGCTCAGAAGTTTAAGTCAATACAAGAATGAGATGACTTTTATTTAAACGTGTTCGTTAGTCTAATTGACGAACTTTTTAAGTATTTTACATAGTAAATGTGAAAATTGTTAACAGCAAATTGTGAAACATGATCGGAACATCGTACTTTATTTAAGCTTGTTTATATAGTGTCATTAATTTTATGGTAGGTATTGCGTTTAGTAGTTAGATAAGTAGTAGGGAAGTAGGTAAGTAGTTTTTTATGTGAAAACACCGTATTTTTACCAAATTCAAAAAAAGGAGGAGGTATTGTGTTCCAATGATTGTTTTTTTTTAATCTGTAGGTACTGGAATGAAAATCTATGATTTGCTATTTTCTCCTAAAGTAGTACATAGCTACACTACACCTTCTGCCTCACCTGTTCAACGTCTAACCTTAATTTGATTGGTCGTTAGCCATAAAATCCTCCGGGCACCGTTTCCCTCGAGTGTTCCATTGCAGCTCGACGTACCACGGCAATGTGTTCCTGAGTATTTCCTTATTATTTTAATGGTGACGCGTTTAGGGAAATTATGGCCTTTTAGGGCAAAGTGCAATGGTTTTTGGATTGGAATTAATGGCAAGCTCGGTGCTTAAGCAAGAATTCAAAGAGCAAGGAGATTATCCTCCTGTCTTTTGGCGAGATTAAGGAAAATTATATAGGTTTACCGTGGCTGAGGTAATGTTACAGGGTAAATGTATTAATAAAATGTTTTTCCTAAATTGTTAGCGGGTTCAGTGTCTAGGTGTAAGTAGGTTTAGTCATTACGTTACATACGTTAAGACTATTGTTATAGATGCGTCATACGTATAGAAGTAAATAGGAAAAAAAGTTAAGTTTTAATTTCGCAATTAAGTGGATGACTTAGAACCAGTCAGTCGACGACCCAACACCTCCTAAGGATAAACAGTAGAGAGCGTAGAGGAGCGAAACACGTGTCGAGTGTGATTTGTATTGCGTCTTTCTACGTCACTATCTGTAATAGAATACCAAAGTTCCTATTCATACATACATAACTTACATAACTTCACGCCTGTCTCCCATGGGGGTAGGCAGAGACTAAGGAACGCCAATTACGACGATTTTTACATACCTCTTTCGCTTCATTAACAGTCATCAATCTTTTCATGCATGCTCGTCGGTTAAGGGTACTTTTAATTTGGCCCTTCTATTATATATCGCCAATCTGGTCATTATATGTCCGTCTAGGGCGCCCTCTACTGACGGCCCCATTCATATCCGCTCTGTATACTTCTTTCGTTACTCTACTTTTATCCATCCTTTCTACATCCATTCTTTCCTATTCCTACGAGACATTTATTCATTTGAAAAACATTCCTTGTCCAAATATAATTTAGAAGTAGTAAACAAAGCTTTATTTAGTTTATTTATCTTGTTTTCTATTTTGCGATACCAAAAGTTTCGAACAAAACAGCCCGTATATCAAAAGCCAGTACTATAAAAAGTGTGACGTAACTGTCTCTCTGCGTGACAAAAGCTTAAGTTTCAAGGTCCCAGCGGCTCCTATTTACTCCTGAAAACAGTTACAGAAAAGCCGATTACAGTAGCAACAATTGTTTATTTGGAAAGTCTTGAGCATTTCAAAATAATAGAGAAAATGTGTTTCTTGGAATAATTTTGGTCGAATTCAATAGATGTTTGTCGATGTTCAGTGAACAGCCATCTTTTGGAAAATAAATTTAACTTAGTATTGTTAAAATGACTGAATAAACATTGGCCAATGCCCACGCTGTCATTGTTACGAGTGGTTAAAAATACCCATTTTGTATTTAAGTCTACAATACAACGAATGTGATATTGATACTCTTTGTTATTATAGAAGATAGCTGTCATTTTGGTCTAGTATAAATCCAAATATTATACATCTTAAAAGATTTTGGGCCAAAGGTTAGAGGCAAACTATTAATAGACTTTTTTAACCGACTTCAAGAATTGAAAGTTCATAGTTTCATCTGAATTTACATACGAATGTTTATGCGCGATTATCTCGTAATAGGGTAGTTCCCAGGGTAAGAAAATTCAAAATCTAATCAGTCCGTAAGTTAGATAATTAAAAAAATATTAGACACGTATTTTTTTATTTTCTCGTATAAAGTTACAATACTTAGATAAAATAGCTTTAATTTTAGGAGTGGGAGGTAGTTACGACATAACGTGGTACATTTTGTAGCATGCTGTGACGTCACGCGACA